AAGAAATTCTTCACCATGAGGGTGGTGAAACACTGACACAGGTTGCCCATAGAAGCTGTGGATGCCCCCTCCCTGGAAGTGTTCAAGGCCAGGTTGGATGGAGCTCTGAGCAACCTGGTCTAGTGGAAGATGTCCCTGCTCATGGCAGGGGGGTTGGAAACAGATGATCTTTAAGGTCCCTTCCAACCCAAACCCTTCTATGATTTTATGAAACCTGTTGCTTAAGCACTTCCCTATCTCATATACCAATGCAAGACAAGTTATGTATTTGCATTAAAAAACCCTTCAGTATGCACCAACCTTTCTCATCTCAGAAAGGAATATTTGTTTCAACCACTGCGTTGGATTTGGCACAATATTATTCTGTGGATCGCAGTACACAGAAGAGAGTGTCTTACGGAACTACCCTTCCTCCTCATTCTGAATGCATTAGTTGTCTCCCATACAAACATAACCTTCTATATATGATAATTTTAGTCAAGCAGCGGATCAAAATAGAAAACATTTTTAGAATTCCCAACTATGCTTAAAATGACAAGATTCAAAATAACACTAAGAAATCAATTAAGTATCTCTTTTAATGTTCAAATGTGTTTTTCATTACATTTTTAGAAATACACCATAGAACACAATGATTTTAATTTTTGTCCTTACCATGGGTCTTCAGCACCTAGTTTTTCTTTTGTTGTGAACAGCTCAATGCAATCTTTTAATTTCACAAAAGGCTTTTTGGGAGGCTTATATTCCACGCTTTCATGTTTCTCAAAATCCTAAAGAGAAGTATTTCTTGAGTTAAGAGAACAAATGAAACAAAACTCATTTTAGTGATGTCGTCTTACTATAAACAGAAACTACAAAGCTCCTATATATGGAAAAACTGATCAGAAACCATTCAAGCAAAAACTTTTCACAGCTTCAGCTTTACTTCCAAATTAGTAAGCCTCAGATTTGCTAATTAGTTAGATGTGTAAACAAAATTTATTTATGGCGACATATTTACTAAGAATAACGTGAAAAAAATTTCACTAGCTGCTTCTTTTGAAGACTTACAATCTCTTATGTCACATTAAGTTGTACTTTACACGTTTAAGTTTCATTAGTGCTGGAAAAGATGAAAAACATAAACAGCTTACCTCTGCTGCACTATCATCGAAATATCTCTTCTTCAATTCAGGATCCCAATCCAAAGCAAGGAAAGATCTTTCTAAGATTAAAAATATGTTTTCTCTTAATATTATTTCTTGCTTTACATTAAATTGTATTCACTTTCGGCAAACACTCTTCAAAATGAATTAAACAATGCTAGCATGAGTTTAAGATGAAAAACTGAAGCACGCAGAATCTCTGCATTTCTAAGAGCTAATTACAATAACAAATTAATTATTTATACAGAATTTACTATTGGGAAAAAAAGATGTATCAAATATCACAGACCGAATGAAACACCAATTTATGGAATTGGAGTCAGAAGAAAGTATCAGAATCAAACGTTGACCAACCTATTCCCCATGACTTACCGTCAAGCCTAGGTTGCCTGTCATCAAATCTAATATGCCTGGTATCATCTTTGATGTAGTTTATGTCAGTATTGCCTAAATTATTGAACTGGAATGTAAACAATCGCTTTTTGTGTCCCGTGAGTGGTTGACCTTTACAAGTATCCTCAGTACATAATCCATTTTCAGAGTCATTGTCGCCTCCAACTGAGTCTTCTGACTGGCTGTTTTCATTCTCTGAAGGAAGCTCCTGATCCTGGCTGGATTCATCATCTTGTTCATCTGTTTCCATTTCACCTGAAACAATCACAAGAAGAAGGAGGAAGAAATGAGGCAGAAGAAAGACACTGCAGAATTCACTTCAGTTTCAAATTGAACACAAAATACTAAACAAGTTTAGATACTCCAGTCTTACTTGGAGATCCTTCTTCATGTATTCCATTTGGGCCATTACCATTGATACCATGGTCCTTACAGCAATGTAGGGATCCTTCAGTGTCTTCACTTTCAGTACATGTTTTTACGTATCGGCTAAATATTACAAATGAAAGCAATAGTTAGCATCAATGGATTTTTACATATTTACATTGTTCAAACCAGATAATTAAATGGTTACAGCAAATCCTTTCTAGGGTACTGTATTCCTGCACTCCTTTCTGACTTACTCAGAGTGAAAAGTTTTATTGCCTAACATGTCTACTGTTACAGGTACCTCTGAAATTCTGCTTGTCTATGATCTTAGTTTTTGGCAGTTACTTGATTTTATACAACTTGATTCTTGGTATTAGTCTCTGTTTGTCCAGAAATATGTTCTTTACCTGTTCATTAACCATATTTTTTACACAAAAAAGTATATGGTTCACTTACAAAGAAAGTTATATCAACAGAAAATAAAGTATAACTTTAAATTCAATGTTATAAGATTCTGATTTCTGCCACATAATGACATTTATTCCAGTCTAGTTTCAGCAAGCGTCTACAATGTAGTTTTACAACATAAATTAGTATATAAAGTTGTATAGTAGGTACAGGAGGTATAAACATAGAAGAATAATCGGCAAAAAATTTTCATTTTACCAAGCCCTAACAAACAGCTATGTATACAGCAGAATTAATTCCCCAGAACTGGCAATACAGACTGACTCTACTGTCTTCTGAAATAATTTTTGGTTGTGGTCATGCTAACAAAAAACAAATTAAAATCCACACCAGTTCACACCTCAAATGGCTAAAATTTCAGATTTAACAGAAAGCAAATAAAAGATTAAGTACTTATATCTAATCAATCTGTTAGCAATGCATGTAAAAATAAGTGCCTACTGATTCCAAGTATTAGCATTATTCACAACAAACACATTTTTCTTTAAACAACAACCTTACCACATTCTTAGCAGCAGCAGGTTATACAGTTTATCTTCAGTATTGTTTCTAGGTACTGCTATGAGAAAAGGTTGACCAAACAGTGAAGAACCACTATGACTGTAGCTAGTGTGCCTGCACTTTTCCCTTAAACAAACAGGAATTATAACTTGTTCTGTATCTTCTGTTCTATTGATAGCAATTTCAAATCTGAAAGAAAAACCATCAGAAATACAAAGGACAACTGTAATTTAAAAGGTTACAAAAGGGAAAAATAAAAAATAATAAACCTCCCAAGATTCATCTTTATCTTATGTCTAGGTTTTAATCATTTCCAAATAACTAAACAAACTGTGAAGAGACATGAAGCATGTTATCGTTACTTACACATAAATGTCATCACGTTCCATAATACTACTTAGATTTTCATCCATGCCAAATATCCTGTGGAACCTGTGATTGTATATATCAGTAACAATCATCTAAAAAGAAAACAGAGTATATCTCAGGAAATCAGGTTAATCTGTGTTAAAACGTTCATTGTTGTGCTTCATGTAAGAAATCACTCTTACCTTATCTGCAGCAACACCAGACAAAGACGACAAAGCTGTGCAAAGATCCAATATATTTCCAATTTTGGGAACAACTACTTTGTACTAAAAAAAAAAGTCACTTTAATTTCTTAAGAGAACAAATACGCATGAGAAAAAAAAACAAAGAGCTTGTATCACGTTCAGCATACTACTGAATGCAAATACTTTTCAGATTCTTGAACTTAAGGTGCAAAATATGTAAATCAAACAACACAAATTCCAAAAGCTGCTGAAAACGTAGTAGTTACCTTCACAGCTTTACTCATACAAACACACACACTTCGAATACTACATTACCCAGGCCCTGCCCGGGTGAGGCCCGGCGAGCGGGCCGGAGCGCGGAGGCAGAGCGCGGTGTAACTTCCAGGCAGGTCGTGCCCGCGCCGCGTTATGGTACGCGCAGGGACTTCCCCTGGTGTCAGCGAGCCCAGATCCTGTAAATGAAAATTCTGACCCTGCCGGTTATCTGGATGGAGAGTCCCCGAAGGCAATTTATAGACCGTATTTCGTGGCTGGGTATTTCTGATGGCTTTCAGGTGTGGCCCGGCGAGCTGCCCCTGTGAGAGCAGAACATAAAGACAATGGCGGCGACAGGCAGAGAACAAGCCTGCGT